AAAAGAAAACAAATAGATAATATTCAAGTTATGGCTTCTTTAACTACAGATTCACCTTGTGAAATACTTTTAATAATCGCTGTAAATATAAGCATAACACTAACGGGATCAGAAACTCAAACTCACATTTCATTAAGAAAAGATTCTCAATAGTGATAGAAGTGAATACTGCTTTAAACTCACGAATGTTCCCAGTCTACTGAGTCAATTAATGCTACATATAATAAGATAAGACTCTTTCAGTAAGCCACCTTACAACTACTGTTCCAGATAAACCCTCTTTCAATACACCACTATACAAGTACTGTTCCAGATAAACCCTCTTTCAATACACCACTATACAAGTACTGTTCGGGTTTATATGGCTTTCAATACACCACTATACAAGTACTGTTCCATATAAGCTCACTTTCCATAAACCACTATACAAGTACTGTTCCATATAAACCCGCTTTCAATACACCACTATACAAGTACTGTTCTATATAAGCTCACTTTCCATAAACCACTATACAAATACTGTTCTATATAAGCCTGCTTTCAATACACCACTATACAAGTACTGTTCTATATAAGCCCGCTTTCCATAAACCACAATACAAATACTGTTCTATATAAACCCACTTTCAATACACCACTATACAACTACTGTTCTATATCAGCCAGCTTTCCATAAACCACTATACAAGTACTGTTCTATATCAGCCAGCTTTCCATAAACCACTATACAAGTACTGTTCTATATAAACCTGCTTTCAATAAATCACTATACAAGTACTGTTCTATATAAATCTGCTTTCAATAAACCACTATACAACTCTATTGTTCTATTGCACTTAAGTTTGTGTTTTTTTGTCATCATAAAACTACCAAAAGTACACAAAACACTTTCAAACATGTTATATGCCAATGCTAAACAAAACATCATTCTCCATCTTTTCTAGGTGGCTTAACATCATGCACAACTGATATACATTCAAACTGCCAAATACATTTTTCGTTAATTATGATCCCATGGTAAAAAAAGTTTAAAGGAATCAAATGTTCAGTAACTCTCCAAGTCCTCTAATATTGTATGTATCCAAATTTAGTAAATGGGATTTTTTCCTACATCATACTACCAGTAAGATACTTCATATCTTTCTCATCAACCAATTTAAACAAAGTATGGTATTATATTAATATGTACATTATGAAAAACCTGAAATAATAAACTACTCCTCTAAAAGTTAATCCTAAAGCATACTAAAAATAACCCACTTTATCTGTTTTCAAAGATTACCTGAATCAGTGCCAGAAAAGGAATACTACATATATATATATATATATTCAATACACAAATATTGAACTATGTATATAAAAAAAACTATGTATATGTATAATATAATACCATACTTTGCTTTTCATGAAACAAATTATGTAAATTTGACAGGGAAAATAAATGTTTTGGGTATTGTAAACAAATATGAAATGTTGAAAAAAAAAAGCTTTCAGAAAAGTCAAATTAATTTATTCCTATATACATGTTTATGGTCACATTTTTAGTTCCACAATGGTCACTGCATGATCTATTATAAGCAGCTAAAAGTTCCTGAATTGATACAAAATACATTATTTACACCAAGACTTAAAGTACACGTTTTACAAAACTAAGCAGAAATTTAAACATGTGTAGCTTACTCAATTCAGAGCACTTTTCCTCATCTAGCAGTTTGATACTACACTGCTAATTTTTTTTTATCAATTTATTGTGTTTGAGTACAATATTTGTATAGCCACTAACAATAACTAAATTTAGAGTAGACACAGTAAACACAATTTTTACAGTGTACATTTAGATACAACTCCATTCAATACAAATTTGCTACTGAAAAAAAAAAAGTTTTTTTTATTTTTAGCTTGATTAAGAAAATATATTTTATCTCTCTCTATTTTTAAAGCTAAAGTCATAGCCCAAAAACTTTGGACTAGATTACAACTCTATATTATCAAGGGTAAATACTAAATTGAGTTCTTACCATTCTATACAGATATCCTTGACCACTGACTATAATTGTTAAGACTTGTATATGTCAGAAGTAGAGAAGATTGCTACCAAATTTAATTAACAAATTAAATAATTAAACTACTTATATGTATTGTCAAAAGCACCCAATATACACAATTCTTCAAGGCTGTCTCTGCACTACCTTCCTTGACAAAAAGTAATAATGTAAACCATCCAGGATATCATGAATTCCCTTTTGAAACCCTTGGAAAGTGCTGGCCTCAATTTCTGTTCAAGGAAACTTATTCCATAACCAATCACTTTGTTACAAAAATAAAAGTGTCTTAAATGGAGCCTATGTCTAACCTGTTTTTTTTTTAGTTTAATTTTAGACACACTGATGGGGGATTACAAGGAGTCAAATAGTGAGGGAAGAGAGACTTCAAATTATTCAGGATAGTTTTCTATATAAAATGGTCAGAGAACCAATGGAGGTGTTGATGTGATCTTAGCTTTTATTGTTAAACATTAACGAAGATAAAATTGCAAGAGTTGAATTAGGTGAACATTTGGGAAAGAATGATCATAGCATAATTAACTTTGATGTTTTGCTATACCTTGAGATAAATATAAAAAATGTGTTCCTAATTTTCAGAAATCCAATTTTGTGGCCACAAGAAAAGATTTATCATTAATGAATAGGGATAACAAGTTAAAAGATTATGTTAAAAATAAACTTTCAGTTCAAGACAGCGATGTTATGAAAAATAAGAGGATAAATATACACCAATTAGTTTTACTTCTGTTTCTATACTGTGAAAAATTTTAGTGACTGATAAAGGAAGCTATTCAAAATCATTTAGAAAAATATATCACAAATTAAAATCTCCAAAGGGAGATCTAATCTTGTCTTAACACTCTGTCATCTTTTAAAGGATGTTTGTTGTCTTAACACTCTGTCATCCTTTTAAAGGATGTCTGTTGTCTTAACACTCCCTCATCCGTTTAAAGGATGTCTGTTGTCTTAACACTCCCTCATCCGTTTAAAG